ACTTGCGAGTAATTGATAATTCGTAAATGTTGTTTATATGTCGAGTAACGCCAAATGATTTATGAAAAGAATTTCGGAAAATTTTCCTTGACTCTTTTAAAAGCTTTTGACTTTTGTCAAATAAAAGTGGGGCGTTACAGCAACTTTCTGGGGTTGGCGGGATATTATCGGCGTTTCATCGAGGGTTTTTCGAAAGTGGCCCAACTGCTGATGAACCTGACCAAGAAGAACATCAAGTTCGTGTGGAGTTCCCAGTATGAGTCGAGCTTTCTAGAGTTGAAGAAGAGGCTCATATCTGCACCTGTGTTGACCATACCGGATCTGACTCTAGGGTTCACGATTTATAGCGATGCCTCGAAGATGGGTCTGGGCTGTGTGTTGATGCAGCATGGGAAGGTCGTGGCGTATGCATCAAGGCAGCTGAAGCCTCACAAGGCGAACCCATGACCTGGAGCTTGCCGCAGTGGTTCATGCGCTTAAGATTTGGCGACACTACCTCTACGGGGGCAAGTGCAAAATTTTCACCGACCACAAGAGTTTAAAGTACATCTTCACGCAGAAAAAGCTCAACATGTGACATCGAAGGTGATTAGAGCTCGTGAAGGACTATGATTGCACAATTAGCTACCATCCGGGGAAGGCTAATGTGGTTGCCGATGCGTTGAGTCGAAGGAACCACGATGCACTGAACTTCATGATTACCCGAGAGGAAGAATTAGTCCGAGATTTCGAACGGCTGAGATTGGCGATCGTGTAGTCCACTCCTAGATCTAGTGGCATTCTGGCAGCACTAGTTGTGGGACCCACTCTCCGAGAGAGAATAATCGCCAAACAGCCGAACGATCGTTTCCTTTGTCGAATGAAGGAGTTGGCATCAACCGGACATATCGGTGGTTTCGCAGTTACGACCAACGGTGCTTTAGTCTTCGAGGGGAGACTTTGCGTTCCGAAGTTTGGGAACTACGACGTGAGATTTTAAAAGAGGCTCACAGTGCTCCGTACTCCGTCCATCCTGGCAGCACGAAGATGTACCAGGTCTTGAGGGAGACTTTTTGGTGGCGATGTATGAAGCGCCAAGTAGAGAAGTTTGTGAATGGATGTCTGGTGTGTCAATAAGTAAAGGCTGAACATCAGAAACCGATAGGATTGTTGCAGCCACTTGATATCCCCATGTAAAAGTAGGAGTGCCTCACCATGGACTTCGTGGTGGGATTTTCGAGATCGAGGTTCGGGCATGACTCTATTTGGGTGATTGTGGACCGACTCACGAAGTCTGCCCGCTTTTTGCCTGTTCGAACGACGAT